TAAGTAAGAGTTTAGGACATGCCATTTGGAAGGGAAAAAAGCATGGAAAAAAGCTGGCAGAGAAAGAAAAATAAAATAAATATGTAAATTCCCACCTCAAGGCATCCACCATCAGTAATCAACAGACGAACAACCTTTGAAATTTTGAGCTTTGGCAGGACCTCTTCTATATAAAAAGTTGGAGAAGCCAAACGTTGCGGTGAAAATGTAGGAAATTTGATCTTTTTTCTAGCCTTCTTCAAATCTTCTGGTAAATTCTTTACCACAACTACATCATTTGAAAGTGCTCCTATAAACTGCTCTTCATTGTAAAGGTATGAGAAGCTCCTGAACTTAGGACTGCCAGACAGAAAGCAAGAAAATAAAACAATCAACCAACAGCTTCCAACAATAACTATATAATAATCATTATATGAAGTGGAAAAAACCTGATTCCTTTTGAGCGAAGACTTTGTTGAAGTTCTGGAATGACAAGGGTGGCATTTAAAAGCCTGGAAATTGCGACAAGATCACAGATCTAGAAAATGAAGGAAAATATTATAAACTCTGTTATGATATAACACAAATTTATTTTAAAAACTAGCATGAGATAAACTGACCGAAGATCTGATCTTATCAAATCCACCATGTATTTTTGCGTAAATGAATCCATTATGCTCACTGGGAACTGTCAAAAGAAAGATACGTTTAAAAGAATGCTAGAAACATCCTAAAGTGATCCTTAAAATTGATGCTTCAAATCCAGAATTTCATCATGCCTAAATTATTTATGTAAACTGATGCTTCTTCACAAAATGCACTCAGAGAAGATCTTTTACCAGCATGATGCACCAGGAAAGCATGGTCTTTGTAATTGTACCCATAATGGAAAGTAGCTAGTAGTGTTCTAGGTTACTCGGACACAGCATTTTGGATGACATGTCCGTGTCCGACACGTGTCGGACACGGATTCTGCGCGGACACGCCATGGACACGTGTGGTTCAAAAAAAACCTAACTCCCTATTACTTATACCATAGACTAGTTTCTTTAGTAAGATTGGGTTCAAAACCAATTGGTTTCTGAACCCAAAAAACTGAAACCCATTACTTAAAGTCTTAAATATTTAAAAAATATCTATCGTGTTATCTCATGCGATCAAAACTAAATTTCTGTTGTTAGACCTTATTCTAGTTTGATTTAATCTGATTCTTAATTGTTATAGATAATAGAAAGAAACATACAAATGTTATCGGTATTTTAATTCATTCTTTGATCTCGTGTGTGTGTATTTGCCGTGTCCATGTCCAAACCCATGTCTGTGCTACCTAGATAGTGTTCCATGATCAAGTGCATAAAGATAAAAAAAAGGGGGACTCGTTTATTATAAAAAAAGAGCTAGTATGTTATGAAGTGTATACTAGTTATAGAAGAAAGGTGGCACGAATCACAAACAAATACCCGATACCCACTATCATATACATCGAAATTTGGCATTTCACATAGTGTAATCTACGACTACATCTACCTATGAGCAAGTTACCTGGGAATTTCCTCCTTGGATTAGCAAAAGGTTGGAGGGCAGCCAGAGTGCTCACAGAGCCCCATAACCTTCCATTCCTGTTTTTCTGTAACACCGTTGTAGAAAAATATACTTAAAAACCATATTGTAGAAATAACGAACAGACAAAAGCTACACTTGCCTGTGCAATTGGATGGAAGTTATCCAACGCCGGGTGGTATTGTACTAGATCCCCAGTCGAATAATTAGTGACAAGAAGATGGATCAACAAAGACAGCACAGATAAGGAAAAGCCAACAAGTAAAGCCAACTTTAGCTTGCTTTTAATGATCATCTTAATCAACTCTGTCGCTTCAAAACCTAAGAAAGAAATTGCAGTTTTAACCGTTAACAATAATGCATGATCCATCTATGGTAAAGGATCAAAAATGAGCCAAACAAGCAAAAGTAAAGTCTTTAACCCTTCCACTGCACCAAAACTCCGAAGTTATGATGAGGATTAAGGGCTACATTTTGTAAACGTGCACTAAAACTTGGACTCGAGTAGAGCTATACTTTTTTAATCCGCTTTTAATTGGTGGTCATTGGTAATGTAACATGGTTTGCTCTGAAGCCATGTTAAAGCTCCTTCCATTGCACCAAAAACTTCGAAGTTATGGTGCGGCCCACAGAATTTTTAAAACAATTAAACTGGGGGGGGACAGGTTTCCATCCATAAAAAGGCAGTCAATGTGGGGGGCAAGTTAGTGTGCAAAATTATAACTCTTAACCCTCTCCAAAGCTCCGTATTTTTTGTGTAATAGAAGGCAGCCTTAACAATATTCAACAAACATTAAACAACATTTAGTTTGCTAATCAATAAGAAGTTTTTTTTTTTATTGTTTGAGAATAATCCCTTTAAATGATAGTTAGCTTATGTAAGAATAATCTTTTTAAATATATTTAGTAAAGGAGCTATGTAGTTAATACTGATCAGCTAAGAACTGTGATCAGCTATGAAAATATCCGTTCTACTGTTATCAATGCCAAAATTTCAATATAAAGTAAAAAAACCCGTATTATTTACGATTTCCACTTCTTCAGGGATCAAAATAAGAGGAAATATTCATTCATATAAACTCAAAAAATTACAAAAAGGAACAAATACCTCGAAAATCTGGGATCTACGATGTCAAGCGGCGCCGATCATCAATCCTCGATTCGTAAAAGAGACGAAAAGAGGATTCGATCGGTGATTTTCAATGGCTGGTCATTGAGAAATTGAATAAACCCTAGCAATTTGGAAGTAGAAGAGAGAATTTTTTATTTTTTTTTTCAGCGAAGATTATAGAGAGAGCATTAAATGGGGAAGACGAAGGCTCGGGGACTTCGAGAGACTAATTTTATAATTAGCTAATTTGTTTAGTTTAATACTGGCTATTGCTAGCATTTTCGTAATTTGCATAATGGTCCCCAGGTTCTGGTTTTTATTTTAGACCCTTGCAAATTGCAATTGGCACATGAATTCTTGGAACGTAACAATATTGACGATGGTGTGGCTTGCGGAACGCAGTGTTAATAAAGAAATGATACAGGCACACCCTCGGTCACACTACCGACCACACCCCCTTTCTTGCTACAGTACAGGGGGCCCCACTTGAGATTTTTTTAAATAGTATGAAATATTTTTCCATATCTAAGAAAGATAATAGCTTTATAAGTTGCAAGAAGAAATTTTCTAAACAAACTCATTCATTTTTTATTTTTTTTTAAATCGACCCCCTTGAGTTTTTTTTACAAAATCGACCTTTTTTTTTAATCCGGTTCCTAAATAGTCAGGGTTGTCAATCCCGACTACTTAGTGCATAGAATGTTAGGGTAGGGTTGTAATTGGGGATTTACAGCCTCCTAAATAGTCAAGGTTGGTAACCCCCGACTATTTAGGAACCGGATTAAAGAAAAATGAGTCGATTTTTGTAAAAAAAAACTTAAGGAGATCGATTTTTAGAGGGAAAAAAAGGTAAATGGGTTTGTTTAGAAAATTTCTTGTAAGTTGCAATTAGTGGGCGGGTGAAACCTTGATCTCTTTGGTTGTTAGTGGATGGCTATGACTGGTCAATAATTGAGGATCTTATATCCAACAATTAGGGACCACCGTGTGATTGATTTATGCGTACGTTTCTCAACTTGGAGAAAGTAACTTCCATGGAATACCTCATGTGCCTCTTGAAGTAGTGCAAAACTTTACCATGAAGAACAAGTACAAGGTTAGATCTTTTATACGGAATTTTTCTATGATGGATTTCATGAAAATAACATAGCAAACTATGTATTTGCTGTTGATTTTGCCATTTGGTTCTATGGTCTTACTTTGTGTAGTGTATTTATTGAATTAAATCCTATCAAAACCTTCTTCATTTAGAAAATTTGCCTAATGCCCATCTATTTGGAGAACTTAAGTCTCAATTATCCATCAATTTTTATTCCTGACCATTAGTACGTATCTTAGCCCTTTAAACTGGAGTACTATTGAATATTTTTCCAATTAAAGGTATTCTGATAGGATGTTGTGCGTCTTTGCGGAAGCGTGCTCGACAACCAAACGAGTCCGCGAGTCACGGGAGAAGATAACGAAACCAAACACGAGCACAATCCAATCCAAAATACAACAAATCAAACCAAACACAGAGATATACGTGATTCGGTAATTTGCCTACTCCCACGGGGAGAGGATGGGGAGATTCCACTAAATCAATGAGAGTACAAAGGGTTACAATCTCACAAAATCACTCAAATAAATCTTAAACCAAATCTCTCAACTTGCTCACAAGTTCTCCCTCTTAATATGTTCAGTACAATCGCAAATCTCTAATTTTCAAAACCCTAAAATCGTGTTTTAATATATATCAAAACACAAACCATATAAGAACAGGAAATAAAGCTCAGGCTCAAACCCGACTGGTGGTCGACCGCGCCAAAGCTCGCTGTCGACCGGACAGAAAGACAGAATCCAGAAAACCATTACAGGGTTTGGCGGTCGACCGGACCTAACCTCGCCGTCGACCAACCAGAACTCCAGAAACTACCATGTACTCGTGCACGTTTGGCGGCCGACCGCGCCAAAGCTCGCGGTCGACCGGCAAGCACCCAAATGCCTTTCCGCTTCAAATTTCCTGAACTTTACCAATATTTTCACCATTTCTACATAGAATTCATGATCATAATGTTGGATATTTTGTTGGAGAAAAGGCAATTTTGCCTTAATGAATACTAATAAATTTTGTAATTAAAATATACAACAAGTTTCTCTTGTTTTTCTTCTCTCCTACATATTATTTTCATCTACATCTTAATTTTATTTTATGGGCAACTTCCTTCATCTGAGCTGAAGCTTTGCATTCTCGCCCGAGTGCAGAGGCCGGCCGTTTTCGGGGGCTTTTACCGCTAGGGGGGAGGGAACCATTTGCGCCAGAGCGATAGGCGGGTTCTCAATCTTCTAGAGCAGTGAATACACGACTGCTCCCGTCAGGCCTAATTTTTCTTATCTCTCATTTATTTTGATTTCGGATTTATTTCATGCTATAATCTTAATTATTTGATATATCTCTAACAATCTAGAAGATTGAGAAGATTAAGAATGTAGCTATTATTAATTTTTAAATCCGAAAATGTTTCTCAACGTATTGATGCATGCTAATTAAATAGATCTACTGTAATATACTTCTTGCAAGGAACATAATTTTGTAGTCAAGTAGTTTGATGAACATACTTATGCACCTGATGACATATTAAGGCTACGTGTTCTTGCTTCTTTGTCTGCTTCCCTCCTCTGTCTTGTCGCTTGTGCATATGATGGCAAGAGCTCCATCATTAATTCGTTAATTAGAATTATATCATCAACTTTGATCAAAAAAGCAATTCACATCATGCTCTCTCTCTCACAAACTTTATGCTTGCATACATAAAGATATGGAAAGGAAGGATAAAGCCTTTAAAAAAACCGTTACTGTTTACAAAAAAAATGTAATTGTTACTGTTCATTCCAAAAATAAAACTTTTAATGTTCATTTATTAGAAACATATTGTTCATTTATTTTAAAAACGTTACTGTTCATTTTATTAAAAAACGTTAATGTTCATTTAAACAGTTTTGGTTATTTTTTTAATAAAAAAAATTAAAAAAAACTTCTAAAGTTAGAGCAAGTATCAGATTGCAAGTTACGAATATCAAAGAACCTTTATTGGTTTCTAAAAGCCTAGTTTATATTTGTTAGAATCATCTAAAACCTACCATTATCCCCTTGTGCTAGTGAATATGCACGCATTTGAAACATGCTATAAATTTGCAGCAGTGTACATATTTATTCTTGAAAATTTCATATGCATGATTTTGACAAGAATAAAGAGAACAAACTATGGATGCATAGATGCTTTGAAATATCTGAATTTTTTCATTGTTTAATGCTTTCATTTTTTTTAACCTATCAATATGGTACCTTCTATTATTAATAATTCTATACTTTGGAGTGCTTATGCGTCTAATAAGCTTAGTACAAAAGGTGGTAAAAGTGAATGCAGATTTGTTCAGCAACTTAAGTGGCAGTTGTCTGCAGCAGATGAGTTTTTACTCTCAAGACATGAAAATCATGAGGTTCGAACATCAATAGGTAAACCCTTCTCGGCCTTATCCAACATATGTTTGCAGTATAATTGCTAGGAAAATTAAATGCTTGCAATAAATATTTTAAAGTTTCTATATACTGTTAAGGAACAAAAACTCATTGAGTGAACCGATTCAAGTTTTCTTGGATTAGTTGGTGTCTAAGGCAAGGTTTAGGGGTTGCGTAACGCGCTCTGCAAGGAACGAGGTACTTAATTGATCTTTGATCAACCTCTATTACTATCCTTACCTACCTAACTACCCGGATAAAACTTTAATCTTTTTACTTTAGGAGTTTTTGGTTTGGAATAAGAGGACCGGAATTATGAGAAAATTTCATATGCATTTATTTAATTACGCTGCTTGCATCAAAGAGGTGCATCTTTTAAAATTCTATTTTATATGATGGATTATATTTCAAATCTTCAAATGTAAAGTTCATCTCCTTTATTGCATCATGATGGATATTGTAATAAATGTTTATATGTCTTTTTAGATAATTTTAATTACAAGGTTTTATGCAAGAATGCACTTGTAAAAATTTAAAGCACGTATGTATAAATATTATTATTATTATTATTATTATTATTATTATTATTATTATTATTATTATTATTATTATTATTATTATTATTATTATTATTATTATTATTATTATGTGTTTAAGAGGTGGACTAGAAAATGACAACATAAATTTGGAAGGTCTCATTTGTAGGCCACCGATTTAAATTTGGATGGTCCCTTTGAAGGCAACCAAATTTGCAACCTCTTATAATAGGAAATTAAAAAAATTTGTGTATATGTAATATGATGTATATTTTATGATACGAAATCATTTTATATGGTTCTCTTTAATGCTTTGCATGTATCTATTAGTAATGTTATTCTTATATGTGCATACGCATGCATGTGAAGATATAACTAAAGTATTTTAGTTCTCTTTAATGCAGTTACATTTCCAGACATAGAATACGATCTTTTATGCTCAGAAACCATGACCTTTTATGCTTACATGTTGCATTCAAAAATGATGTTTAATTTTCTTGTTGCTAAATTGATTCCTCTATCTTTTGAACTCTAAAGGTTCTATTAGCAATGTTAGGATTTAGTTCTTTAAATATACAACATATTGTGTTCCTAAAGAACCTGGAAGTAATGACAAACCTTTTTGTGCTTTTGTTTTCTATTCCTTCCTTGATAATATTTGATCATTACAAAAAATGAAAATGTCTAATTATTATAATCCATTGTTTATTGACAAGAGACATCAATAACTATGCTAACATGTTTTGATAGTGACTAAAAGAATCATTTTATAGCTCTTCATTTTACTACATATATAATGCTTTCTCTTGAGATTTCAGGAAATGATTAGAGTTGATATAAATATGCTCTGTCAACTAGTATGTCTAATTACAGGAGATGTGATGAATCAATGTCTTGAAAATCAAATCAATAGGTATATCTTATAACTTCTATCTATATGATAAATAAAAGTTCAAAATCAGTGAAATTATATTAAAATTAGTCCATCAAATAAAATAAAATAAAAATTGCTATTAGGCTTATCCTTATAAGTTGTTTGAAATTAAAATTAGTCCATCAAATAAAATAAAATAAAAATTGCTATTAGGCTTATCCTTATAAGTTGTTTGAAATTAATATCTCCTCTTACTTCTTGTACTCTTATTGCTATTAGGCTTATCCTTATAAGTTGTTTGAAATT